TGACGGTAGTTAACATACAACAGAAGGTATTTAACAGATATCCGAATCGCGCTAACGAAGTTTTTAAGATATGTTTGCATTTATAGAAGTTTATCCAGAGACAAGAATAGATGGAGAAAGATCGTGCGCGCGAAGGTGATTCAAAAGGGTGGTCACGACCCTCAGCAATTAGGAATACGACGCAAGGAGAAGGATAATAAGATAGAATAAAGACATAATATTTCGAATCGTTGGTCTAATGAGAGAATCCATCCCGCTCAATGAAAGATTTTTCTTTTACAGATAAAAGAACGTTGGTGTCATATGACTTCGAGCTCGGGGATTTTACTTTTGATTTCGCCAGTCATCCATACAACCAAGTAAACCATACATTCTAATTTAATTTATAATCAATCTAAGTGTGAGAAAAACTGTTTTCCCATCATTGTGATGCAGAATTAATCGTAGCAGCGTTATCAGTGAATTTATCAAATACATCTAAAATTGTATGGAGTAAGAGACATTGTCTTTATAATGCTTACAGATTTAAATCATTCTCTTGATTCAGTTGTGTTTTAATCAAGAGACTGCAGGTTCCACTATAAGGACATAACTAGTCCACCTACACAGAGATCCTGCATTACGCTAGTTGCAAGTATGACAACTAAAAGACACTTTAAAGTTGAGATCAAGAGATATATTTTCACGAAACTTACTTAGGACCTTAGGACCTCGGGACCTTAGGACCTTGCTAGGGTCAGTGTTTTTTGTTTTTTTTTATTGCCCGTGTAGGCAGAATATACTGCTCATGGACTTAAGCAATGCCTGGGGCAGAGCCAAGCCAGCGGCTACAGTTTTAGCAAACTTCCGGTTTGAGCCCCGTGAGTTCACCAAGTTCACCTACAAGTTAGGGTGAAACTGAAATAGCCTCTCAAGGTTATCAGCATAGGTAGGAAAAAAAAATCAGCGCCTTAACCAAAGAAAGAGCATCGATCGTGTTTGAGTGATAGCAGCGTGGCAGGAGAAGACCTGGTCTCCCTATACAAACTTGGCGACGCACCGTGGTGACTAAAATGAAACTGCCGGCTTGACCCGGAGTGATATTATAGACCATGCGCAAGACATTTTGTGAGGGCCCTATGTAACAGCAGGGTACCCTAAGACTACAACAACAGGCGAGTAACAATTCTATGAGAATCTCAAATAAGCAAAATATTGAAATACCAAATGCGTATTCAAATTGTAATATAATATCGATTTTATTAATAACATAATATTAATTACTATATCGTCTTACGGATTGCAATAAAGAACTAATAACTATGAAGTCGACTATGTTACGTACCGAAAAAAGTATCTTATTTCTATGTATTCAAAGACTTTTTTCCTGTACACAATGTAACAACATGAGACGGACAGTTCTAAATTAATAGTATTTGAAAAAAAAAACATGATATAAGACAAAGGAATTGCTTAACATTAATTTTGATGGTAACTTATCAAGTGATAGTTCACAAGCAATGTTGACTCTCGATCGTGTTTGAAACTACCCAAACGGACCACAAACTCACGGCTCACTCTTTGAAAACGGAACCATCACAAATGCCCACTATCATAATGTAGGATTGAACTTCCTTCTTTCTCCAACCTCCTTCAAACGAGGCTTGTGGAGAGTATTAAGCGGTAGGCAGCGACTTGGCTCTGTCCCTGGCATTGCGTCCATGAGCGACGGTAACCACTTACCATGAGCTAGGCTGTATACTCGTCTGCCTCCTAGGGCAGTAATAAAACAAAAAACGGACTTTGAACTACATTAACACATCAGCTGTTCCATAATAAAAACCGGAACGCATGACTCCTTTTTTTTTAACGATGGAGAATCCGTTTACGGATACCCGGTCGAGGAGGATAATGGACCGGGTTATTCGGACTCCGACGCCTCCATGGAAGAAGAGGGAGAAGAGGAAGACCGAGTTCCTCCTCTTCTAGCAATTCTTTCCGGGAGACTACGAACGCATGACTCCTGCGAGACTGAAAACGCAAGACAGCGACACCAACCCATATCGAGTCTACTCAAGATAATGCCTAATGCTAGGAGCTAGGTTACATCACGTTTGTTTTATAAGCCTTATAAATGCGCTAATGAAATATTACATAGACGTTTATAACATAATTGGTAGCGCACAGAAACCCGCATCGATAATAACATTGCAAAATTGCAAATCAGAACAATCATCAAACATCAAAACATCAAATCTGTCAGCTCGAAATCTATCAAGCTTCTTCTTAAGCCAAATGCTGAGTGTAGGTCTCTTCAAATGCACTCCATTTTTTTCGGTCTCCTGCCTTTCGTACCCAATCCTTACCAGGTATTTTGATCCACCTCATTGGCTATATGTCCACGTAGCGATGTCCAATACAAGGTCTCCACTACAATACTTTTATGCCATACCAATCGTGCGACGGCATATTTGGTTGCGTGGTCTATCAAGCGTTGACCATTAATAGGAACAAGAAGTCTCATGAATTTCAGCTATTGCCCACCTAAAGTCATAACATAAAAGAGGATTATTTTTCTATCCAATTATTCCTTCTACGTATGCAAGACCGGCCATTTCGTATCGAGTCGGGTGAATGGACGTTACAAATTGAATATCCACCTCGAGACACTAGGTCCAGTAATGTATGACTGCCACCTCAAGCTTCAAAATTAAAACTTGATTACGTAAATACCACTGTCCACCTCGAGACACTAGATCCAGTATTGTATGACTGCCACCTCAAGCTTCAAAATTAAAACTGTGATTACGTAAATACCACTGTCCACCTCGAGACACTAGGTCCAGTATTGTATGACTGCCACCTCAAGCTTCAAAATTAAAACTGTGATTACGTAAATACCACTGTCCACCTCGAGACACTAGGTCCAGTATTGTATGACTGCCACCTCAAGCTTCAAAATTAAAACTGTGATTACGTAAATACCACTGTCCACCTCGAGACACTAGGTCCAGTATTGTATGACTGCTACCTCAGGCTTCAAAACTATGATTACTTCGCAGCAGAACTAAGAAAACAAATTCGACTGCTCTACCACAAAACGTAAATAGCTGAGATGATACGAAGACTTCAGTGAGGCTTACATAAACCCAATATATCCAGGCGTTTTAAAATCAAAATTATGTTGAATTAAAAAGTCTCTCATACATACATAAACCCTTAAAAACATTTTGCTCCAATTTTTTTCGCTTAAAATACTTGACATTGCTCATGCTGTCTATGAGCCTGAATGAGTATAAGAAGTCACGCGCTGCACAAGACCAGATGTATCCTTGGATTTCCATTTACACTTAGACCCTCACGAGCTCAGGGCCCTCCTGGTCGTAAGAGCTTTCAAAACATATGCCTTCGAAAACCTTGCATCAACAATGCTCCCAAACGCAGTCTCAATACGTAATCAAGATCAATTAGCAGCAAATATGTACGTGTATAGATCTCAATGAACAATTGCGAAACGGTGATTTAGATCACGTTTCTTACTTTCATTGAACCTCACGGATCCTCGGTTGATTCTCGACAAGGTCGTAACCAATACAGTGGCATCATCCGCAACCCTCGACTAGGAAATTGTAATTTCAATCGCCATATTCTTTGGTTGCCGTTAGAAGACTGGTCTTTTTAAACCTGGGTTGGTCTTAAAGCAATGATTTCAAACAAATAACAACTTATTGGAAAATTCAAGAATAGCTAAACGTTACATTTCACTAGTGATTGAACTTATCGGGGGCCTGCATGAGTGAGTACCACTTACCTCACTGTTTCTGCTGCAAAGCATTAATGTATTCCGGCTACCAGGCAGGGACAACCGTTCGCCAACTCTAAGATAGGTTAAGTCTAATATAGGTTAACGGCAGGCACTCCCATTGTGCAGACTCCGCTAACTCAATCGCGTTCTGTTGTCTGTGAACTCAAATGCCTATGAAAAACTAAGAAAAAATATGTAAAAAATCTTCAAAGAAAACATGATTTCATCATCATCAGCCCACAGTCGACCACTGTTCGACATAGGCATCTCCCAATACATACCACTGAGCCTGGTCTTCGGCTCTCCTCATGATGTACTGATACAGAAAAAATCAGTACCGGTACGCGGTGGTACTACCATTTCTACAGGGCATTCGCGCGTCTGCCTTGAAGAGAAAATCCTCCTATCTGAAATTGGGTAATGGAAAGCACGTCGCAGTGTCTACGGACTTTCATGACCATTTAATCAATTGACAATGTGTTACATCAACAATTCAAACTTCGTAGAAAGATATGGTTTCATGGCAAAAATGCCCGGCATTCTCCGGTGACACACACACATAGTCATACTATGCCGGGACTGAAATCCTGAAGGCTAATAATGTTTTTGATGGATAATTTGATTGACGAAAGAAAAACACGACGTAATAAAAACCTAGTAATTAACCTTAAATTAGAAAACCTAAAAACCTTAGTAATTAGCGGTAGGAGATTTTGTGAGTCCAAGCAAGTAGATTACTATCCATTCTGCCGCGCATTCTAGTTTGAACCATTCTTGTGCAATGGAATTGAAACTTTAACGATTAACACCTAACACATAATTCAATTTTCAAGAGTGCCCCTCGTAAACCAAAATATCCACTATTGTATTTCTGCTTTATAAAGAAAAACAATGCAAATTAAGACATCGTCATGACCCGCGGCTTGGCAACGACATTACCATTAGTTGGGCACCCATCTATTGCAAAAAAAAGACCATAATTATGGAAAATTTATGTATACTCCTAGTAGTTCGATTAAACTATAGTCATAAGGCGGTCATGTTTAAAGTGTTCCGTCTACCAGCTTAAGTTGTGCTACACCAAGGTCATAGGCAACCGAAAAAATCTTCTTAATTACGCCGAGCTCGTTTATCTTCGAAGTGACGTAATCCATTCGAAACTCAGGAGTTGACGGAAGGGTATATATATATATTGGAGCAGTTCGTCTCCACAATCACAGTAGTGAACGAGCCATTCGAGTGTTAGTGTGCAAGGAGATCGCAATTCATAATGAAACTGGTAAAATTGATGATATTTTCGTGGATCGCGATAATGGTTTTTGGCTCTGGCAAAAAAAACCTTTTGTGTGAAAAAGTAGAGTTTATTGCAGTTCTTTGTATGCTAAAATTATTCAAATCTTGATACAAAACGTTCGTTAATGCTACCCAAAACAAAATCCGGATAGTTACAACTGCCGCACCTCTAACTGCCGCAAAACTATAGTGCTTAAAAGATACAAAATAATCAATTATTTTATTTTGTTTATCCTCAAGCAGTTAAAAAATTATAATGTAGAGGAAAAAAAACTGAATTATTTTATTAAAAATAATGTATTTTACACCAATCGAATGTATTTTGTATTACTGAAACAGGTTATGGAATACAATTTCATGGGATAATAGAAAACATCCTGTATACACATTGTTTTAGTTGTAAATTTCATAAAAAATAATTGGCTAGATAAGATCTTGACCTACACGGTGCTATGTGGTGTATGGAGTTCATACTGGAAAGCATTATTGCAAGATGGCATAAATAGGCAGGGCTATAGAAATGGTATTTTACTGGGAATATTTGAAAATAATTTGAGACAATATAAACACAATTTACAGTTCATCGTAGCCGCTCTCATCGCTGTCTGCGCAGCTGGTCGCCTGGAGCACCTGGAACGCTCTTATCTTCCACCAGACAACAGCATCGGTGGTTCCAGCTTTGGAAGTCATGGTGCTCAAGGAGGATTCGGATCTAACGGCTTCGGAACTGGGAATGGTAGAGCTGGTTCTCATGCTTCCCAGCCGGGTTCCTTCCCTGGTGCCACTTCGAATCAGTACCTTCCACCCAACCAGGGCTCTTCTCTAGGATCTGGACGCTTCGGTTCTTCCCTTCAAGGTATTATAATAATATTTTCTTTCGTTCGTATTTATTTTTATACATAATGTTATTTATTAACATTTGTCGTATACAATGGTGATTTGCTTGGTGGTGCAATAGTTAGCACCCCTGACTATTGCGTCAAGGGTCATGGGTTGGATTCCCACATCGGGCAAACATCATGTGATGAACAGATTTATTTACTCTATGTCTGGGTGTTCATTATCTATATACGTATATATTAAAAAAAACGTTTATAGGTACAATATGTACATAATGATATGTCAGTTTCTGTTATCCATAAAACATGAAAACCTAATTTGGAACCGGATGATCTGCTTGATTTGTTCGCATGCAAGCAAGTACACGATTTACGATTTTTCCAAGAAAAGTTTTTTTTTTTTATTGCTTAGATAGGTGGACGAGCTCACAGCCCACCTGGTGTTAAGTGGTTACTGGAGCCCATAGACATCTACAACGTAAATGCGCTATCCACCTTGAGATATAAGTTCTAAGATCTCGTTACAACGGCTGCCCTACCCTTCAGACCGAAACGCTTCACGGCAGAAATAGGCAGGGCGGTGGTTCTTACCCGCGCGAACTCACAAGAGGTCCTACCGCCAGTAAGTGGTGTGTGTCAATTTTTTCAAGTGCCATGCCGAAAATGTATACGAGACCAAAACACGTAACTGTATACCGAATGCCGGACTCCGTTGTAAAGATTCGCTTACCACTATGACGAGTTTTTCAATCGCCATGTTATAACTCGATTACTTGAAGAATCGATTTTACAACATCGAACGATTTCGTATAGTGAAGTGTTATCATGTAAAATAGACTATTTGTGAAGCGAACAGTTAATTAAACCACTCAACTGAACGTTAGTGTAGACCTGATTTTAATATCACAAACGTGAGTTCGTATCTTCGACTTAGATGAGATTGTAAATGTCCTGAAGACTGATTTGATTAATCAAAATGGCAAGGTTTATAGAATGATTTTAGGCTTTTGCGATAATCCGTGAGTTTAGTCTGTCCATGTTCAGAGGACTGCCAAAAGCTAAAACCCTGACCCTAAAATAGATCCCAAATTTATTTATTTCTTTATTGCTTGGATGGGTGGACGAGCTCACAGCCCACCTGGTGTTAAATGGTTACTGGAGCCATAGACATCTATAACGTAAATGTGCCACCCACCTTGAGATATAGTTCTAAGGTCTCAGTATATTAACAACGGCTACACCAGCCTTCAAACCGAAACGCATTACTGCTTCACGGCAGAAATAGGCGGGGTGGTGGTACTGTCTGTGTGAACTCATAATACGTCCTACCGCCAGTAAGAAAATGGTTTTTTATTGCCTTTGTAGACAGACGAGCATACGCGCCGCCCATAAGTGGTAATGGACTATCGCCCATGGACATGAGCAATGTCAGGATGCAAGCCAACTCGCTGACTATCTACGCATCACTGTTGCAACCCTTTACACTGCATACCTTTACCGTTAACAATATTTTTTATGTACAATGATCCCATATATATTATTTTTCACAGGATTCGGCTCCCACACACCGTCGTCTCAATACGGATCTCCTCAGAACCAATATTCACCTCCAAGCACACAATACGGTACTCCTGGCGGACAATTCGGATCTTCTGGTCGTTACTCTGGTGCAAGCCACGGTTCAGGCAGTCACTCAGGCTTCGGAGCATCTGGCGGTCTTTTCGGAGCCTCTGCAAACCAATACGCTAGTCACGGTTCTCCTAGTAGCCAATCCGGTTTTGGAACATCTGGCGGACACTCCGGATTCGGGGCATCTGGTGGTCACTCTGGATTCGGAGCAACCGATGGTCACTCTGGGTTCGGAGCCTCTGGCAGTCACTCTGGTTTTGGATCATCTGGCACTCAGTCTGGATTTGGATCTGGCAACCAGTATGGTGGTCATGGTGCTTCTGGCAGCCAATCCGGCTTCGGAACCTCTAGCGGTCACTCTGGTTTTGGAGCATCTGGAAACCAATACGCGAGTGCTGGCCACGGTTCCTCTGGTAACCAGTTAGCTTTCGGACGTACTTCCGGTACCACCTTTGGAAGCCCAAGCCGCCAGTACGGTACTCCTCAATTCGGTTCGCTCGGCTCTTCAAGATACCAGAGTGCCGCCGCCAGTCGTCAGTACTTGACACCTAAAATCACCAGCTCTCAAAACATCCCCCAACAAGCGTTCGATGAACAAACTGGCTATCAATACTGATTTGGTACCGCAAACTTTATAACTGTGTTCAAATTATGTATTCTAATTAAAAATTATATATGAGATTGTGTTTTATTGCTCACCAAGACGAGGACAAAGACTAAGCCCATGTCAGAAAAAAAATACAAACTGAGTATTTGTATTACTGGTGGTAGGACCTCTTGTGAGTCTGCGCGGGTAGGTACCACCACCCTGCCGTAAAGCAGTAATGCGTTTCGGTTTGAAGGGCGGGACAGCCATGGGCTCTAGTAACCACTTAACACACCAGGTGGGCTGTGAGTTCATCCACCTATCTAAGCGATAACAAAAAAAAAATGCATGACATTAAGGCAAATACCCTTTTGCAATTGCTCTTAACCACGAGTTCATATTTAGCGCTTCATAATATCTGGTAACAGTTTAATGTTTTGTCCTAACCACATCACATTGACTGTGGTCCACGCTATTATTTTCACAATTTTTTACAACTTCGTGGGTGGTGTTCTTACCTTTGGCTTCTGTTTGCTTACGTTTAAGGACAAGATAGGCTACCATAGGCATATTAGAGCGCATGAGAGGCGCGGACATTAGTTTTTAAGTTATTAAACAGAAAATTATGGTTGCCGTGGCCGAAACTGGCTAGGCACCATGATGATGATTGTTTTCACCCCGTTGAGGTATTTACAGAGCGTCGTGATCTACTGCCAATGGTGCAATTTTTCACAGTTCGATTTTCAATCTTGTGCATTATACAGTGATTTTTATCACGCCTACCACCTCGAAACAAACAAAGGTTCCACTTGTTTTGATTCGACTTAGTTCCAATGATTTTTGCTTGCCATTCGTAACAAAGGCAGAACGACGGTTTCATCATTGCTCATGATGTCTCTTTTTTTTGTTCGAAAGGGTAGTTAGTGGTGGTGGAATGGTCTTGAAATCTTCAAGATCAGGATCTGATGATGGGATCCTGGAGAAATCGAGAAAAATCTACAATTTCAAAGCCTATCTTGAAGTAATTTGGGTGTTTCTAGTTATTCTTCTTAATCTACGCCGCCGCGCACCGGCCGGCCGGTGCCTTGTATATCAATATTACGCGCTTGAGCATTCTTTTGCTGCGATGTTATTTTAAAACTGCGATATCTTTTAAGATGCTCATTGAAATCAAATTATGTAAAAGGAAAATTTGCATTTGGATAAGTATTAATATCATACTTTTTAAAACACCTTCACAAATAATTATGCTTTATTTTACTACAAATTAGGTTAGCATAAGAAAAGTTATAGAGAGCCAACCTTAAAATATAGACACATGCTGTCGTGGACTTTTTTTTGAACTTGTAAAACGGAACAGTTTTGTCATACATTTTAGCGCAACTTTAATCGTTTCCGCAGCGCAAGTAGCAGAAGAGAGAGAGAGAGAGAGAAGCTCTCAAAAGGTAAAAAAAAAACCGAATTTGAAACATTATTGTATTGGTCTTAGCGTGATGTTAATATATATATATATACGTGATGTTATATATATATAGCCTATAGCCTTCCTCAATAAATGAGCTATCTAACGCTGAAAGAATTTTTTAAATCGGACCAATAGTTCCTGAGATTAGCGCGTTCAACCAAACCAACAAACACAAACTCTTCAGCTTTATAATATTAGTATAGATTATAAATAAATAAAATAAAATATAATCGACTTCAAATTTGGTATAAGGCAAATATAAAAACAAGAGTCTGTCTGCATCCGAAGAACACTAACGTCGTAATCATACAAGACCTTGACCGGAGACCTTGGTCGGGTCACTTTCGATTTCATCTCATACGAACACGCATTAATGAAACTCGTTCTTGTTTCACATTGCTGCATCGTGACTTGCATGTGTACACGGCACTAAGAACCTCCCCCCCCCCCGTGCTTATAAACTATTTTATTATTCATTGATTAGATAATTAACGTGTCGATATTGAAGCAACTGGGCATCAAAATCAGACTGTCTACTGTATGTCTGAAGCGGATCCTCGAATATTTTGGTCACATTGCGAGGAAAGACGGCGATAACCTGGAAAAACTTATGATCACAGGGAAAGTTGAAGGCAACAGATCTAGAGGCCGCAGCCATACTCGTTGGTCCGATCAGATCCACACCGCTTTGGACAGGGAAAGTGGAAAAAGATCCTAAGATTGAAGCTCATGGGTGATGGTGGTCACGACCCTCAGACATGAGGAACACGACTCGAGGAGGAGATGGGTGGACGCATTTACAACGTAAATGCGCCACCCACCTTGAGATATAAGTTCTACCCGTGCGGACTCACAAGAGTTCCTACCACCAGTAATTACGCAAATTACAACTTTACGGGTTTGATTTTTATTACACCATGCTATTCCTGAGAAAAAGGGGGGGGGGAGGTTTAAGCTATTCTATTTTTATTAGAAATCTCTAATGAAAAATTTAATCCATTTGATGGGTAGGGATATTCACTAACCACGTGATGAGTAGTTACCTAAACTTAAAACAAACAAAAGGAACCCGTCCGATAGGAAACACATCAAGGGAAAAACAAAATTGTTATTTTTATTTAATTCTGAGTATTTTCATATTTATGAGCCAAAGCGGTCCAGCCGCTTTGGAGTTTTAGCGAGACTAACGAACAGCAAGTCATTTTTATATATATAGATATTGGAACAATGTCTTAGCACGACACGGCATAAGACTTCTAAGATCCATAGAAAAAAAATCTTATTATTTCACTTTTAAGTATTATTTTAGGAGCCACGAAAATCAGATACGTTCAAACACATTAACCCCCTTTGGCTTTGCCGTAATCGAGTTAAAATCTTCATCCGTACCTAAAGTTATAGAAAGTAAACCTATTTCATTTCGATCAAGGTTCAAGAAACCGATATCATTAATGACAGAACAATTAAATTAAATATATTTTTTTAAGTATAAAAATGGATGTTCCTCCACAAAACTATACAGTTGTATAGTACAGTGTGAAGAAAGAAGACGTATTAAGAAAAGGAACCATGAAATTGGTAAACCTTAGTGTATTATTTGCGTAACAGTTTTAATGGTAGGCAGTGGCTTGGCTCTGCCCCTGACATCGCTAAAGCCCTTGGGTGACGGTAACCACTCACCATCAGGTGAGCCTTATGCTCGTCGGCCTACAAGGGCAATAAAAAAGGTTGTTAGGGAATGTTATGAACATGACTCGATCTTGATGCCCTATTTTTGCTGGCAAACAGTCCTGCGTTCTAACTTATAATCTAACCTTAACTTTCGTGCAATTGAAACTTCCTTTTCATCTCCTATGAACAGCATTTAGTTGTTCATGGACTCCATTACCCGATTATTACTAGCCGCGAGCTGGTCTCCCAGTCTACGAGAAAGCCTAGTTTTATACAAAATTTAATAATGCTTTTATTGTTGAATTCCATCCCGAAGCTGACATCCGCTTTTTTATTTATATAAATACAAATTAGCTTTCATCGCTGCTATTTACGATTTAATAATAAAAAAACTAAAAAAAATAGATTAAAAATAAATGTGAAAAAAAACACAAGTTACACCCATTTCCGCACTGTCTTTTAATGTAAAAAATTCTGTAATTCATATTTATTGTCTACCATACCTGACATCTTTGTACTTCATTCGCTAAATGGACTTAGATGTTTATTAAACTATTTTTGCAATAATGTTGAAGAAAACTAATCAATTGACTATAAAACAGTTTTAAGTTTTAATAGAATAAATTAGATGCAAAAATTAAATTGAATACTAAAATAGAATGTTCATTGTTTGTGGTATAAATGAAGTGATGGAGTATGTTTACTGGTGGTAGGACCTCTTGTGAGTCCGCGCGGATAGGTGCCACTTCCCTGCCTATTTCTGCCGTGAAGCAGTAATGCGTTTCGGTTCGATAAAGATGAGAACAAACATTTCATATAAGTTACATCTTCCTTAGAACTTATATCTCAAAGTGGGTAGCGCATTGACGTTGTAGATGTCTACGGGCTCTAGTAACCACTTAACACCATGGGCTGTGAGCTCGTTCACCCTTACAAACAATAAAAATAAAACTCTTTTGAGAAATAAACGGGCTGTAGACAGATGTAAGCTACTCAAAAGCTGCGAATCTAGAGCAGTTGTGAACTCACATCGCGTTACGTGTGTAATATTTACACATGTAATCGTGATTGTGGAGATACGTGTCTCGAAACTGTGACCTCTTGAATGAGACTTACGTGTTGCTGTTTAGACCACAAATGTCATATGAGATTCCTTGTTGACGCAAAAAAAAATATCCTCCAAAAACAGATAATCATCGTAGCGGTGTTCGCGTTCAGCTCAGCTGCACAGCTTCCATCCAGGAACTACATTCCACCAAGCCAAGGGGGGCAAGAGAGTGCAGTACACCCAGAACACGGGACTGGGATCCACGGGGATACAGGGAATAGAAGACCACAACAAGATGCCGAGAAGAACTCTGCAATTTTGAAACAAGAGCAGGAAATTACTGAGAATGGGGGTGAGTTTTTTACTGATGGTAGGACATCTTATGATTCCACACGGGTAGGTACCACCGCCCCGCCTATTTCTGCCGTGAAGCAGTAATGCGTTTCGGCTTGAAGGGTGGGGCAGCAGTTGTAACTATACTGAGATCTTAGAACTTAAATCTCAAGGTGGGTAGCGCATTTACTTTGTAGATATCTATGGGCTCCAGTAACCACTTAACGCCAGGTGGGCTGTGAGTTCGTCCACCTATCTAAGCAATAAAAAAAATAAAAAAAGTTTCTGATTGAAGACTAACTTATTAAGCTTTACGTAATTTTTTTACTGTCAGTGTTTCTAATAACGATTTGAAAAATCATCCCCAATTAAATAATTTAGATTAAAACTGATTGCAGATTACCACTTCGGCTATGAAACCTCAAGCGGCATCCGAGCTGAAGAGTCAGGTTCCCCCAGCCAATCCCAGGGTGGCTTCTCATACAAAGGAGATGATGGGAACACATACACTGTGATCTACAGCTCAGGAGAAGGTGGTTTCAGGCCGCAGGGAGAGCACCTTCCTGTTCCACCACCGACTCCGCAAGAGATCTTGTTGGCTTTGCAACAGAACGAAAAAGATGAAGCCGCTGGGATCTTTGATGACGGTAAAGATGCTAGTTCATTGTCGCTTCCATAGATCTTTTAACAGTTACCAGTTACTAGCTTTTGCCGGCGACTCCGTCCGCGTGGAATAGTTACTTTGGCATAACGCCAATTTTTACCCCCCACTTCATTTACGTAGAATGTGAAAATATTTTGAAACATTCTTTGGTATTGCCGTGATATTATAATATATCCTATAGCCTTCCTCAATAAATGGGCTATCTAACACTGAAATAATTTTTCAAATCGGGCCAGTAATATGAGATTAGCACGTTCAAACAAACAAACTCTTCAGCTTTTTAGTATTAGTATAGATTAGAACATATCGATAGCTCAACATGTAGTAATTGTTACTCAACTCTATGAAGTAATTGTGGGTACGCGGCGCACTGAAGTAATTAAATCGATTTCAATCTTTTAACTAAGGCGCCGGAATATCTAATAAACTACGGGAAAGATAATCTTTAGATACTGAGAGTGAATCTATTTCTAAAAGACCGAAAGAAGATAAAAGATTAAGACATAGCAAACAAAAGAAGGCGAGTTTGGCAATCCGGGCGCCTTAACAGAAATCGACATAATTACTTCAATGCGCCGCGTAGGACACCGATGACCTACACGGCAGTCAACGTGTTAAAGGATAAGACAGCCGGTGCATTCGTATCGAGCGATGCGTCGGTACCGATTTTCTAATTTCTGCAAGCAGGTACGTACCACTTTTTGTAATACATGTTCAAGAATGACTTTCGTAGTGACAAAAAGAAAGAAAAGAAATCAACTCAATTCGAAGTCGTCGCGGCCTAAGAGATAAGACGTCCGGTGCATTCGTATCTTGCGATGCACCGGTGTTCGAATCCCGCTGGCGAGCACCAATTTTTCTAGTTAATTAAATACGTAGTGAAATAAGTAAATAATAAGGAGCTGCAGGGTTTACATTGTACAAATGCTAAAAAGTGTATATTCCACTAATCTCACAATTTTAGAATGACGTAAAGAAAGGGGAGGGCTACAAAGTTATAAAAAAAACGTCATCTGGACATCCTCGAGCGTGGCTCAGTTTTTTTTTTATTTTGAAGAAAATAATTCAAGGATAACGAAAAATATATAACCTGGCGATTTCAACATGTCGAAATAACAAAAATTCGTCGATAATGAACGCATGCAGCTGCGTAATGCCTATATTCCCCTCTCCGCATTTTTTTGAACATGTTTTTTTAAAGTATTTAATTGCAAATACAAGGATTTTACTTAAAAAACATAAACTTTTTTATTTGCATACTTTTTGCTGAGCTTTTCCATTAATTAAGTTCAATGATTTAATTGTTTTATTCTTTGTCACATTTTGCGAATCCCTGTAGATAATCGTCAGATTATGAGACAGCACGTCTAGGATATAAAATTGAACCATATATATCTGAATCTGACGCGCTTGACTATTTCAAAAAGGCGATATTTTTTTTCATATTATAATAATGGCCGCGAGTTTGCGTCACACCGAAATCGTCAGATTATTGCATGAGAGCTTTATTTAAGGTTCACTTAAGACCCCCTAAGAAAATCTGACGCGCTCGATTGTCTGTTTATTTTTCATTTTTAACCCTTACCTACGACCACCCCCATCATGCAAAAGATCAGATTAACATACATACCTTATTAAAAATACGTAGAACATTTATGCTATCGATATCTGACGCGCTCGAGTATGTCCGAGTGTGTAACAGTCTTTTTTATAAATTTTAATATGTATAGCCGCTTCCCCCACCGGTGAAAAGGTATAGATTTTACGTTTTTTTTTTCTTATTTATTATAATCTAAGCTTTGCAACCTAACAGGTGTCTATGACGCTTGAGTAAATCCCCATTTAGTATCGTGGGCTCCCCTACTAAAACGAGAATCAACTAATTCAATCTAATGGTCCTAGCGAGTACAGCTTAGTTCTACTCATTGACTTCGGTCATTTTTTAACTTATTTATCCTACCTGTGCTGATGCCTTAAGAGGCTATTTCAGCTTCTCCTTGGCGTGTAGGTGAGCTCACGGTGCTCAAACCGGGAATGTTGCTAACACTGGTTCTAACAAGAGCAGTGCTTCCACCTAGCGTTCCGTGAAGCAACCCACTGAGAAGATCCTGCGAGAAACTTAGTGGGCTATCATTTCTTAACGCTGATGCTTCGTGCCAATCAAATTAACTCTTTAAATATAAAAAAATGTGTGCAATTCACACGTGGTAGAAGTGAAACCTTCCAAAATTAAAATACAATTATCCTAAACGTCTTAAGTATATGTAAAATTTTGTCATTAGTAAATAATTGTAAGATAGCGCCCTCTGTGAATTGATATTTTAATTTCACGTATAATCGTAAATTAAAATTCACTACAAGAGCTTTCATACACACGTTAGTATTAAAAAATCTCACAGATGGCGCTGTATTAAATAGTATGTATATTTCTGTCTCATTCTTTGCTGGCTTCATCCTACACATTTTTGTATTTATGTCTCTTACCTGTCGTTTTTTCCGTTGCATCCGGTTTGAAATCACAACGATTCTATGTATACATAATTTCTTCAGGTCAATATCATCCTGAAGCGAATAGTGAAAGCAAAGGTACACCTGGGCAGTCTGGAGGCTTCGTTCCATCACCAGGGCAATCCGGTTCTGATAGTCATCAAAACGGCTTCAACTCGAATACCGGATATCATTACTAAGCTTAATTAAATAAATTTTAAACTAATCATTTTTGTAAATTGTCCCTTCATGACAAACACGTTAATGGTATGAATGATTTGGTATATTATAGTAAGTAAATAAATCATATATCAATCTTTTTGTTTTCTTATACTCCACTAGCGGCCCGCTCCGGCTCCGCTCGGGTCTTTAACAAAAATTTCAACGATAATTTTGACATTGTTTTATTTTTTTAAATAAAAGAACACTTATTGCGGCATAACTATAATAGTTAGACATATGCTGTCGCGACACTTTTTGTAAATAATAATGTGTTCTACAAAGTCGTAGTACATTATTATATCATCAATAGTTTTCGCAGGGTACGCGATGTAATGCATATTTTAGGTAATTTTTTTACACCTTGGGTTACATTATTGGAGTTTTAGTAAGGATCCTTAATTTTTTTCAAAAAAAATTATAGCCTATGTCACTCGGCAATATTGTAGCTTCCATACAGTGAAAGAATTTTTCAAATCGGTTTAGTAGTTTCGGAGCCTATTCAATACAAACAAACAACAAATCTTTCCTCTTTATTATATTAGTATAGATAAAATACTGATTATGATTTATAACAGAGCTTAATACAAAAGATTCTGTATGAAACAAAGCTGACAAAGGTCGTTAGTACAATAAAAATGCTGTAATAGTACTTATTAAAAACATTGAGGCCTTGATTGTCCTTGGCTTTTTCAAATGAAGCTGCAATCGCAACTATGATAATAAACATATAATTAATCAAAGAAAATATAATCACATTCTATGAGCTGACCTCCACACAGCCTATCGTAAATAATGACCACAGACGCACCACAGTGTAAGTAAGTAAGTAAATAAATGTAAATGAGTATGTAAATTATGTAGTAGTAGTAATTATGTAGTAAGTAAATGAGTGTGCTCATTACTGAAATTCAGAATTTATAGGATGAGATACTTCCATTGTAGAAGTAGTTCGCTAAAACACTTTTTACCTACCTAATCGTTGATAGCTTTTTTTTTATGATGAAAGTTTACTGGTGACCCTGAGGCCTTTCCAGTTTCACAAGGACAGATGGGCGAGCAAGGGCTCAGCCAGAAGCGGCGGGATTTGCTAACAGCTACCCGAGCACCTCGAAGGGAGACCTAACAAAATAAGAGTAGCTGTTTCGCGAATGAATCTACTACAGGATCAGAATCGCGACCCACTGAGAAGATCCGGCGAGAAACTCAACGGGCTGATGCTTAGGTTAGGTTGCACGTCGAACTCTTTGCCGAGCTCGACGAGTACGGTTACCGGGGTCTCTACTCCTAGTGTTAGAGCAGAAGGCGTCTAATGCAAGAGTTATTGGATCTGATGGATCCGTAAGGACGTGTTTAGGGCGACGACGGTGACTGACTCCTGCGTGATCAGGATTCGGGGAGTAGTCAGCGGAGGCAACGATAAGGCGATTATCATGACGTATTGATAACTATTCTAGCTACGCCGGCAGGTGAGCTCATGAGCTTAAACTGAGAGAATTGGTTACCAGGAAGAGCAATGCTACCACCAGATCAGAATCGACCCACTGAGTAGATCGGGCGAGAAAATCTATTCGTTTCAATAGATTACTAAATCCAAACTATTTTTTACTGGTGGTAGGACCTGTTGTGAGTCCGCGCGGGTAGGTACCACAGCCCTGCCTATTTCTGCCGTGAAGCAGTAATGCGTTTCGGTTTGAAGGGTGAGGCAGCCGTTGTAACTATGCTGAGACCTTACAACTTATATCTCAAGGTGGGTGGCGCATTTACATTGTAGATGTCTATGGGCTCCAGTAACCACTTAACATCAGGTGGGCTGTGAGCTCGTCCACCCATCTAAGCAATAAAAAATAAATAAATAAACTTATAAAGCTTTGTCTTTGCTGTGGGATTTCTAGTGAATGGATGCGAGCTTTCTTTCATCAATAGACTGTTAATATTGTTAATTGTAAATGATACCTCGTGCATTCATTAAGCACTGAATACCATATACATACTATAATATGAAAAGACTTTTGCCCCAACTTATTACAGTCAAACCTCGATAAGTGAGAGCTGGATAAGTGAGAAAACTCTATAACTGAGAGTAATAGCCAGGACCCGACATTTTAAGCTCCCAAAACCTCTATTAGCGAGAAACAGAAACCTTTTAGAGAGTCGTTTTTCCCTCATGGACCTCCGTAAGTGAGACTGCTACTTATCTATACCTCTATAAGCGACAGTCGAGCTTTGTTTATTTTTATTACATATTTGTATCTTAAAAAAGTTTAACTCCTATGTAATTATGCCTATAGGCGTTAAAACTATCGTCA